TCCCAGCAAAAACAAACCACGCCCAAAAATCGCCCCTCTAATGTAGGATGACACGCCCGACCTACAGCTGGGGCAGCAGGGCGCGGCCCGGCCCCGGCGGGCCCGCCCGCCTCGCCCAGGCCGCGCCCGCCGGCACAGGCCCATAGGCCCGGCGGCGCCCCGCGCGCGGGGGCCCCGCGCGGGCCGATGGCGGCCGGGCCGTGGCCCCGGCCACCTGCGACCTCACGGCGCTCCGGCTGACCTTCCGGACGCATAGAGGACCCGGCCCCCCCTCCACTCCTCCAAGCCTCCTCCCTTTCCTCCTCTCCTCCTCCTCACCCTCCTCCCTCCCTCCCTCCCTCCCCTCCCTCCCTCCCTCCATACCCCCCACTCCCTCCCTCCTCCTCCTCTCCTCCTCCTCATCCTCCTCCTCCTCCTCCTCCTCCTCCTCCTCCTGGTTTGGCCAGGGAGGCATCCACACAGCTCCCGGGTCCAGGGCGGGCTCGGACCAGCGGCCGCGCACCGCTGCACGAGTCGGCCGGGCCCAACCTTGACCAGGTGAGTGTGTGTGTGTGTGTGTGTGTGTTTGCTTTCCCCCTGGGTTCTGCCTGGCCGCCTTCGGGCTGGCCCCCCCAACCCACCCGGTGCTGACCACAGATGTCGCGGCGGGCTCCCCCCTCGGCGCCCGCCCCGCCGCGACTGGGACTTGCCGGAGCGGGCCCGGCTTCCTCCCTTTTTGTCGCGCCGGGGTCTCCTCTTTTTTTTCGCATTGCGGCCCAATTCTTCTCGTTTCGTATCCCCACCAGTCGGCTCTTGCGCGGCCCACTCGGACCTCACTCGCCGCTGGCGCCCTCGCCTGCGGTTGCGACAAAAAGTATCCCCACCGGCTCATTCGGAAACCCTGCCCTTCAGAGCTGACGGGAAAAGGGACGAAGAGACACATTTAGGGAAATAAAGCGAGCAAAGGGGTGGCCTTGGAAGGTCTCTTCGGGCCATCCCTGGGTGCCGCGTGGGGGCGAGGGGAAGAGGAGGAGGAGGAAGAGGAGGAGGAGGAGGAGGAGGAGGAGGAGGAGGAGGAGGAGGAAGGGGAGGAGGAGGAATGGGAGGAGGACGCAGAGCAGGAGTAGGAGGAGGGGGAGGACGGAGGAGGAGGAGGAGGAGGAGGAGGAGGAGGAGGAGGAGGAGGAGGAGGAGGAGGAGGAGGAGGACGAGGACACGGATGAGGACGAGGGCGAGGAGGATCTTGAACCCTCTTTGGAGCCTTTCGGGGGCCCTTGAAGGCATCTTGGGGACATGTTGGAGAGCATCGATCAAATGAGGAGGGGCTCTCGATGTCGCTCCACCCCCCGTCTGGAGCCCTCAACAATGCATCTTGGAACCATTTTCGCGTTTCTTTGGGGTGTCTTTGGGCCCTCTTGGGGCCGTCTTGGGGTCCTCTTGGGACCCTCTTGGAGCCCTCTGTGGGCTCTCTTTGTGCTCTCTTACGAGCCCTGGAGCGCCTCTTGGGGACATCTTCGAGGCTATCGATCAAAGGAGGGGGGTCCCGATCGAGGTCCCCCCCCCTGGGGCCCTCAAAACTCTCCCTTGGAGCCCTCTTGGGGCGCTTTTGGGGCGCTCTTGAGCGCTCTTGCGGCCGCCTTGGGGGCGTGTTGGGCCCTTCTTGGGGCTTTCTTCTTGGGCCACCTTGGGGCTATTTTGAGGCTTCAGAAGCACGTCGGAAGCGAAACGGCGAGAAGGCAAACATCATCAATTCTCCTTGGGTGCTTGAAGGGTGTTGGGCTCTCGGAGTGGTCCTGAGGGGTTTCCGAGAGCACCTGGAACCGTGTTGTGGCCACCTTGGGGCCTCTTGGAGGCATGTTGTTAGCTATCTTGAGCCATATTGGGATATCTTGATGATATTGCAGGCCTTGTTGGGCTCTCTGAGGCCCTCTTGGGGCCATCGTGAGTCCATCTTGGACGCTCCAACCGATCGCGGCCCCTCCCGTCCAGGCCCAGGGGTAGGGGAAGGGGTAAACCCTTCCCCGAAGGGGAAGAGGGTTTTTTGGAAGAGGAACGGAAAACATCGTTGGACCACTTGCGCCCAGAGGGCTGGTGGGATTTGCATCTAGCGCGCCCCACCGATGCCCGATCGCTGGAGCAGTCACCCTCTGCGCAGCCGCCGATACAAAAAGTGTGTGTGTGTGTGTGTGTGTGTGTGTGTGTGGGTGTGGGTGTGGGTGCGTACGTGCGTGCGTGCGTGCGTGCGTGCGTGCGTGCGTGTGTGCGTGCGTGCGTGTGTGTGTGTGTGTGTGTGTGTGTGTGTGTGCCTTGTCCCCCTCCCCACTCCCCCAGGGCCGTTTCGGCTCGGGTATTGTCAGGAGAGAAAAACACACAGACACAATTAATCGTCGATTCCCCAGAAACAATTAGGAAAAATATGGGCAGTGGTGGGAAGAGGGAGACAAAAACCCGAACACATAGGGAAATATGGGGAGTCCTGTTATTTATGTGTATTTATTTCGTGTGTTTGTGGGCCCCTTCATGCT